CTGAGCAAGGTGGCAGCCGTGGTGAGGAACAAGACACTTAATTGCACTAGCTGAGCTCTCTCTACGCACAGCCAGAGGGTCTGAACGACGCTCCTGGGCTTGGCGTCTAGCCATCAGGAAGCGGCCGACAGCCGGTCCTGACCCCAGCCATGTGCACCTTCGCCAAGGCACCGCACCCAAGGTGGGGATGGGCGAGGCTTCAGGGGCTCGTGGCCAGCCCACCCTCTTGGCTAAACACAGGAAGGCGAAGGGTCGGCAGCAGCCCTTGCAGGTCAACCTCGGGAAGTAGAGGGGAAAAAAGGCTACCAACCACAGAGAGACAGCAGAGCAGAGGGAGGGAATCCCCCGCCTGGCCTCTCCCCACATTAATTCCCTTGCCCAGAACTTGTGGGGAGGGAGGGTGGGCTTGTTCTTTTGAGCAGTGATTGACGGAGAGAAACCAGAGCCTTCGGCCTCCCTCCCCACACGCAGGGCAGCTGGCAGCAAGCACTGAGTGTCCAAACCCAGCAGAAGAGGCTCCAGCCGGAACCCTCAGCCCTGGTCTTCCCACTCGTGCCACCCCCACTCAGCCTGGCCACGCTGCCTGGAGGTGAGCGGGTGGCAGCCCAACTTTGGAGAAAGCCCTCTGGGGACTCTCTGGAGTTCTATTTTCTCCCTCTTTCTAAAAAGACCCATAGCTCCTAAGAGACATTGGCCAGGTGGGCTTCCTTTCCTTTCCTTTCCTTTCCTTTCCTTTCCTTTCCTTTCCTTTCCTTTCCTTTCCTTTCTTTCTTTTTCTTTCTCCCCCTCAACTGAAGGACCGAAAACTGGACTGACGCAACGAAAGAAGCATCTCAGTCCTGAGAAGGCTGAGGGGCTATTGGGCAGCACGCAAGCTGACTCAGGAGCAGCAGCAGAGCCAGACTAAAAATTGGACAAGAGAATGGGGGAAATGCCCCCTGATCCACCGGCGACACGAAGGGTTGCACACGTGCGTTGCTTGGCCCACGGGAGCAAAAGCCGGGCTCGGAGCTCCAGTGCATCTGTTGCACGCTGACAGCCCAGGTTTTGTGGCTAGCCCCTCCACAGAAATGCAGCAGCTCCAGGAAGGAAAGGTGCTTCTCCTGAGGCCGACCGCAGGATGACCCAACGATCCAACTCCGGATGGGGTCATGCTCGCCACTTGACTCGCAGCAACTGTCCACAAGAGGGAGCCCCTGGCATCTGATAGGGCAAAGCCACCTCAAACCTTGGCATCCCCCAGAATTAAGCTTACAAAGCATTTCCCAGCCCTAGGCCAAAACGGACCCCTCTCTTTTGCCTTTATCTGCAGAGATTAAAAAGAGAGAGATTTGCCTCCCAGCAAACCTGGCCAGCAAAGACAGACCACTAGTGTTCTCACAGCCACGGAGGAAAAAGGAGTCTTCAGTGGGACCCCCTTCCCTCTGGGAAGGCTTGCCCAAGAAAACACAACCCAAACCAAGTGTGAAATGGTAAAAAAAACAAACAAACTGCATTTATAAAGGTTTAATCATAGCGGCTAGGTGGATCCTCCCTTTTATCTACTGCTTCAAACAGACAAGTCTTCCTCAAGTCTGCAGGAACGGTGAGCTGTCTTGAAACCTGAGAATTGCAAACCTGAGGCCCACGTTTCCCTAATTAAGAGGAACTGCCCCAAATCTCATTTCTGAGTTGGGTTGTGGTAGCTAATCTGCCCGCTTGGAATGTGGCAAGTTGCAATACCAGCCAACCTGGAGGGACCTGGCTGGGGAAGCCTGAGTTAAACTGTTTTAGGAGCAGCCACTTCTCTGACCGCTGGACTGCCCACTTCCAGGGACAGGCAAGACATGCGCTGGGCAGAGCAAGACAGCCCAGGACTAATTTGAACTCTCTGTCATAAGCTGTTAGCTCTGGCAAAGGGCGTGGCCCGCCATTAAGGGCAGGTCATGTTTTCCAGGTGAGAGAGAGAAATGCTGAACTGAACTGGGCCTGCTCCCTATCAGCCACGGAAATGCCCCACTAAATTCCTGCAAAATGGCTTTACTTTATTAACTTGGGCTTGACATCTGATTGCTCTAAGCTTTCCAAGAAACCATTAGGGTTCCAGGAAGGGGTGGCGGGGAGGGGGGAGTAGAGACGGAGAGAAAGAGAACGAATGGGTGATGATTGACAAGACCATTAAAAATAATGCTGAACAGACGCGGCTCCAAACCAACCGCCGACCCCTGAAGGCCGTTCCTAAGGAAGAAAGCTTCTCGAGCTTCGCATAACGTCTGAAGAGCACCATCTACGACCTCTTCTTCCCTTACAGCCGATCCTGGCAAGCCTGTGGCCGCCTGTAAAACCTTTGCTCCTGCCTACGGGACCCCGTCTGGGCAGACTGCGTGGTGAAGGTGAGCTTGCAGAAGAGGGAGAGGGAGGGGGAGAGAGAGACCCTTGGCTGGATTGCTTCAGGTTTTGATAGCTATTACATGAAACAGAATTCAGCACCCTGGAGCCTTGCCAGCAAAGCAAGGACTTGATCGAAGTTGTCTGGGACAATTAGCCAGCCATGAACCCTCTTGCTGTTTATGATGGCTCAGGTGGCGTGTGCAAAAGAAAAAAAGCAGGGGAAAATTACACTAGACTGATTCTTAAAAAAAATGCTCAGTTAAAGGGAAGCAGCTTTGGACAAAAAAACCCAAAGCAAACATGGAACAGAATGGTTTTTCTGGAAAATGAAGACAGAGCCACCCCCACCCCACCCATCCTCAGATTCTAATTAGGGCTCGCTACTGATTTATCAGAGGCCCAGATGTCCCCACCAGCTTCAGAGCGGGCTCAGTTCTAACCGACGTTGCGTTGCAAATGGACGGGAACATCCTTAGATCCAGCTGTCCATCTCCAGGGGAAATGGGACCGCAAAAGCTTTCAACAAGAACGCACCTCACCCTTTCCCTCTCCCATCGGTTCCGGTATTGGAGGCCTCCCCTCCAACGTAAAGCCCCTTGTGTGGAAAAGCTCCCCCCAGAGAAAGAGGTTTATTTCTCCAGTAAGTGTTTTGGGCCCAACAACTCAACCCTGCAGAGAGAATTGGAGGAGATGCTATCAGGAACAATAAGAATACCCCAAACCTAAAAACGGACAGAGAACAGGCAGCAGAGGGCGAGTAGCACCGGAAGAACACAAGAAGTTCAATTCTGACTGGGGATCCCAATTCTGAAGCCGGGAAAGAGACAGTCCCAGCAAAC